CTGAAAGTGCGTGAGCATCCGTAGTGACTGTTAATGGCCTCCCAGACGGCAGAAAGATACAAATTAAAGAACGGACAGATCACATTACCCTAGGAAAACTGATAGTTGGAAACGAGAAGACGTCGTTTCTGCAAGATTTGCCGGGCTCGTGTGATCCATGGGTGGAACAAGGCAAACCTCTTGCCCTCCTAGAGTCGAACTTGTCATAATTTCATGTCCAATCAATGTCATCATACTAATACGTTTGAATGATGAAACAGTCCAACGTAATGCTGACTCTTGATGAGGAACATTAACAACAATAAAAAGCAGCGAGCATCAGTAGCACGGTGTTTGGACAGGCATACACGTTATTCGCGACTTTCGACGGATGACGGATGAGGACTTGCGTGGCTTACAGAATCAATGTATGAGATACAGTACTACTCACGATACGGCACCTTTCTGATGGCACTCCAGATACTTCGCCCAGCGACATCCAAGGAGCCCAAACAGCCTACGAAGTCGCCCCGTCGTTCTTCCTCTCAAGCATGTCCCACACTTCAGGCGAAACCTCGATCGCCTTCATCTTCTTTGGAACATTCTGTCCGGCCAATTTCCTCCTCCCGATCACGATTTGATCTCCCTTCTTATTGCCCAGGATGTCGTTCAGAGTTGTGCGAGACGCAAGCTGCAGATGTTCCGTACCATCAACGAGAAACAGCACAAGGGACACCCTCTCGGCTTCATCGGATGCCACAAGAACTACATTCATCTTGTCCAGTGTTATTCCCGGAAAGTCAGCCTTCGTGCCTGACGGCATGGCTACTTTGCCGAGTTGCCGAAAGCTTGCCTTGTGTCCTGCATAGCGACTGCCTTGCACGAGAAAGGCTCTCATGGATTCCGGATATTCCTTGTTCAACCCAGGTGCTGCAACCAGAAGCTGCCCTCTGTACACTTCGGTCACGATCTGCCCGTCGAGTGGTTTGTTTTTCGAGCCCGTCTTCTGGTCCGGATCGGATACAAGCTGGATGAAACTACTTCCAACTTGTGCCGGATCCTTGGGCGGGTGCAGGGGCATGTCGAGGAGCTTTTTCGTATTGGTGCTCCAGAACAGACCCGGCTTCTTAGCGGGTGTGGTGGATCGACGACCTTCGGAGTCCGGCGGCGTTGCCATGCGTCTGTTCCGTGCTCTGTGCGTGGTCGAACGGGTAGGAGGCTTGTGCTGCTCTTCGTCACTCTCTTCCTCGTCCTCACTGCTTTCCTCTTGGCTCTCTCGATTACTCTTTGGGGACGTCCTCCTCCTCGGGCTGCCCTCCGACCTCGTCTTCTCGCTGCTTCGAAGGACGTACTTGTCAGTGCTTTGAAGCTCCTTCAAGTAGAGCGTGTCGTTGAGCCACGATAGACTGACGATAAGAGCACCGTTGTCACGCGCATACAAGATGTCTTTCTGAAGGGTATCGAATTGGCGTTGCGATGCACAGAGGTGGGTGGTCTTCCTTGTAACGCTCGTCTGATAACGCCCCCCCAAGGCGCGGATCTCCTTTTTCAACTGCTCCACGTTTTGGTCTTTAAGAGTGTCAATCACACAGATGTACATGTTTTCAAGGATTCGGCCCTTTTCTTTCTTCTTATGCCGCCCATTTTTTCTCAGATCGTCCTCGGATTGGTCGCCGGAGCCGTCGCCAGAGTTGTCGCCAGAGGCGTCGCCAGAGTCGTCGCTAGAGTCGTTGCCGGACTCACTGATGGCATCGTCGCCGGTCTGACTGTCGGAGATGTCCTCTTTGCTCTCGGCCTGCTGCTCGAGAAGGTACGGTGTGGTGTTGACCTTCGACCCGGACTTTGAGCACTTCTCGAGCCATTTCACATCGACGATTTTACAGTCGTCCTGTTTTTTGGCCTTCTTAACAAGGTCGGAGGGCTTATTGTACGACTCCCGGGTGGCTATGAGGTGCGTAATTTGTTTGGAGAAGGATTTCTTGTAGGTGCCTCCAAGCGTCTTGATATCCTTCTCGATCTGCTGGTGTGTTCGATTGAACTTGCCACAGACGGTGATAACGCAACCGGAGAGCGGCTTAGATGAATCGCCGTCCGTCTCACCTTTCTGCTTAGGGGCCATATTGATTGTCTGTAGTGAATGGAACCAGAGGGGGCAAGTTGTGTCTGACAATTTTATGATGAGAGTCAACCTGGATGGAGCTGCGTGGGTTTATAGGTCGATTGCGTTGCCTCGCAGCGAGCCCAGAAAAAGAAAACGAATTGTGGAAAGCAACAGGCTAGTGCAAGTCAAAAGTCGCAACCGACATCTAGGGGATCTATTTTCAGTTCCGCCGAACGAATGTCAGAGGCGGCGATGAAAGAGAGCAAACGGAACCGGATCAAGATCGAATGGAAGACGTGGGACGTTGAATCTATTGCGACAAAAAGCAAGGTTTCCATCTGGGCTGGAGGGCTTCACCAGAGCAACCCATCCACACCGCAAGACACCCTGCTGGACACACATACTGTACTGTACAATACACGCAGACATCGCGAAAGTAGTGTCCGGTCATATGTTGAGCACAAGGCGCGTGGCGACGCGTGGAGACGCGTGCGGCAAGGCTCGTGGCTGCGATTCAGCATTGAAAAAATCTATTCTAGGCAGCTTCATGTAGCCGTTTTCTCGCACTGCCCTCTACGCCGCGTTTCTCTTGCCGGCCCACACCCTCTTGCCAGCACCCCTTCCGCCGGCCTGACCCGCAACGACGGCATCAATCGGTCGATGCGACCTCGGCTGATACTCGGACTCAACAAACTCGATGAACGTGCGGCCGCCCATGGCCGCAATGACACCAGCACGCATGCGCATGGTAAAATCTGGGTCTCCGCAATCTGAACCATATCAACAGGATTAGTCTCTGAAGCACCCAGCAGGCACGACGGCAGGGCAGAACGGTCACGTACTGATGACAATCATTTCGCCTCGCGTCCGTGTACTCTTCTCTCGAATTCTGTTCGTCATCATCTCCATGACGTCTGCCCCGCCCGGCGCGGCAGAGGTGCACTTCCAGTAATCAGAAGGCTGGAATGGTCGGGGCCTGGAGGTGCGGGGGCCAGGATACAGACACCAGACCACAAGTAATCTCTGGAACGAGGCGGCGTCAGTACGACAATTGAATGTAGCACCGCATGTTCACGTCATAGCAGCCACCCACGGGAAGAAGGACAGGGAGACTTACGTTGTTTGGGTCTAGACGCTGCAATGCAGAAAAGAAGCCGGCTGTCCATCTTTCCTGCTTCTCGTTCTCCAGCATCCACAACAGGTCGACTCGTTGCGTTTTGTCTTGGAAGAGCACACGCGACAGAGATGTTCGCTCCTTGCGAACCGTGTCCAGTCGACGTTGGAAGTTTTGTTGGTGCTCCCCCGCCGCGCTCGCCGCGCTCAACATGAGCTCGGTCTCTTCCTGCTGCAGGCGCTGGATGTCTTTCTTGACTTCGCTATCGCTCTTCCGTCGCTCGGCGAGCTGCAGCGCATATGGCAGCACTCCGGAAATGCCCGCGCCTTTGGCCACCAGCATGACGTCCTCGTACTGGCGATAGTCCGACTTCTGTCCGTAGGGACCGTCCAGCTTCAGCGCAGCGCCTTCCACCAGTCTCTCGAGCTGGCTCGCGAGTGTGCCATCGCGCGCCATGAGGAACGACATGGTGCGGACCCCATCCGGCGAGGCCAGATCGCCGGGCTTAAACCACAAGGGCTTCATCGCGTGGCCGTGAACGCCCGGCACGAGCGAGCGTGGGAAAGAGGCCGGAAAGTAGATGTTGAAATGATCGTCGGCCGAGGCCCGGATGGGCGCGTTCGCGTGCACGGTCACGAGGGCGACGTCGTCATCGAGTTCCAGTCGGAGCACGCGGACCGTGACCTGTCGATACCACCAGACGGCACGAACGCAAGCCGCAGCAATCCAGCAAGAACATCCCACCGCAATGAGCGCACGGCTTACGAGCGCGGGCAGAAGATAAGCATGCCACACCAGACCGGCCAATGCCGAGATTGCCAGGACGAGGTGGGTGACGAAGAAATAGCGGCCAAGACGCCGACGTGTTACACTCACAGACAACGGCAGAATGAGCATCAGCGTGCTGAGTCCCTGGCAAGATCTTAGTCTCTACTCTGTACAGCGCCGTTGGGCGAGTGATAAGTGCCGCTTACGATGTATCCCGACGCGACAACGGCACCAGGCCTCGGCCGCAGAGCGAGGACCACGAAAGCGTGAAGCAACGCTTGAGCGATGGCGACCCTGCCGATCCAGTGATGGACGAGGTTAACGGTACCGAGAGGTACGTTGCACAGGGAGGTGAGGACGTTCGTTCGAATGACGATGGAGAGGGGAACCAGATTGACAAACGCAGCCACGCCTGCTTGTCTCTCCACCTCTCTCAGCGTGGGCAGGGCACTGAAGGGGTACAGCAGAAGGGCGATGTTTACGCCAGCGTACAAGAGGACGGCCAGAGCCTCCCATCGGGTGGCACCCGTCCAGTGCTGCCGGCGGACGAGCAATGGATAGGCCAGATGCTGGGCGTAAAGCACGTGTACGTAGGAAAAGGCCTGCCGCAGAGGGCGGGCTACGAGGCGTGCAACTATGAGGGTATAGAAAGAAAGCATGTAGTAGTGCAAAGCCTCCATTGTCGCAGTCGGCAGTGTTGTAGGGGCGAGGAGCGGAAGTGGCAAAGGGCACAATGGCAGATGGGCAGATAGAGGACCGCCTGAATGATGCCTGGTCGCCGCCCGGGCATGATCCAGGTTTAAGGGGCTACATCAGATCCTATGGGGCGCTTGATGCATGCTGGGTGTGCTGCTGGGTGGGAGAGATGCCAAAGTTGACAACGCAATTGAAGCGACGCCAGGGCCCGTGACAGCACGGATCAAACCCACACTTGGTGTCAAGATGAGATTCAAGACGGCGCACCCAGGCGCCCTCTGTGACATGGCGCGTACGCCGTTCCGATGGATAAGCGCCGATCGCAAGCGCCGGCCGTTACCTACAATGTCGAAAATGGCATCAAGATTGGAGGCTACCAGCGCCTGCTCAAAATAAACAGGCGGCAACGACGGGCGATGGCCTGGACGTCTGCCTGACCAGTCCCGTGCGCCGGTCCCCCATGCGAAACGCCGTGTTGCCGCGCCCGTAGCCCCACTCGCCTGTTTCGGCGGACCTGCTTCGGCGGCTGGATGTGAGATTGCAAAAGACGGAGGCCGGACCTGAACACCAACCGGACCGTGCGACGGCATTGCTTTCTAGACGCCGGGCCTATACAGTCGCCCCAAGTCGAGGAGGCTCCACGAAAATAGAACCACACAGCGCAAGCCCCCGGAACACCCGCAATGCTGCTGACGGGATTACCGCCGGCGACATAAATTCAACGACCCTCCATCGTTCCCTTCGTCCCTGTGTCACAAGGCAAAAAGCCAAAGGCGAAAGTCCAAAGAAATCAAAACGCAGAAGCGGCTCGCAGCAATCAGGGTTCTTTCAAGCCAGGTTCTGTTATTGATTGTCCACCACTAAGCGTCACCCTGGTAGGTTGTCTCCGCACGAGGCCAGTTCTTCCACCATGACGCGCGGGAAGAGCAACAAAGACTTTCGCAAAGGGTTCGAAAACCGAAAGACCGGCATCTTCAAGAAGTCGGACACGTTCTACCGCTACTACAAAGCCAGAGTGGCGGTGCTGGTCATCGGCCACGATGGCCACCTCGAGGCCTACGAGTCTCAGCATGGTCTGATCCGAAGCTTGACGGCGTCTCCTATCCCACAAGAGACCATCTTGGGGCCCGACAACTTTGAGACGGTCGCAGCCAGGCACGCCATAACGCCAGCACCTAGCAGCCCGCCTGCGGCGGCCGCTTCGGCCGACTTGACAGGTTCGACTGACGCGGGCGACGCAGCCAACGCGGCTGACTTGGTCGTCAATGCAGTCGGATCTCCCCCGTCGTCCTACTTTACCTGTCTCTCGGGCAGCTCGAGCGACGGCGCGGAGTCCTATTCGAGCCTGGACGGAGAGCTGTCGGTGTCGCCTCAGGCGCCACTGGCCACCATGTCGGCAAGCAGCTCGTCGTCCAGTGGCCCCTTGTCGAGTGGTAGCAGCGGGAAGGACACAGATGAGACTGCTCCCATGTTCAACGAATATGACTTCGTCAACATGGGAGACACAGTGTTCCCATCTATGTTTCTGGAAGGCGACATGGTAGGCACGACACGTCGGCAGCAGACTGAGATCTTCCCTGCCATGGGCATGTCTTACGCTAAAGCCGCCGATACGGCACCACACGGGACCGAGTCATCACGTCGGAAACAAGCCCTGCTTTCGTTGGCGAACCGCTGTTTCCAGGTGTAAACCTCTCTTGGGCAGGCATGGCATTGGTTGTGTGTGTAGGTTTCTTTAGGAGGTCACTTGGCCATGGAAGGAGTTCTTGGAGTTACTGAGTTCTATAGCTCATGGATGCGGACCGTGTACACTATTCTTCCCAATACCGTCTGCTCTGTCAATACTCCACCGCTCTTCCGTAGTTGTATTACACCCCAAGATGATGACACCGTGTGTTGGCTGACCACAAGTGATGACGATCCCGGCTCGATGACGGCCGCGCCTCAGTGCAAGAACAGGATGCTGGCCGCGCGACTGCTGTTTGTCAAGGTCTAATGTTTGCTTTCGACATTGTGGCACTTTGTACGGCGTCTGAGTCCGATTCAGGGCTGTAGGTGGCCTGACGTAAAGACGTGCGTAACTTGAATTTCATTGGCAGGAACAGACGCATGCCCGGGATTTGAGAATGGACCTTTCTAGAATGAATCTTCGAAGCCCAAATTCCCTATGTAAGATCAGACAGACAGTGTACCCACACCTGCATCACAGCAGACGAGTACAAGAGATAAGACATGGCTCACTTCAGACGCAATTGGCTCACGTTCGGACGCGATTGACACAACCACACCGCGTGCAGCACCATATAACAGATCATCACCATGATGAAGAACTTTAGCGTTGCTATCAACTGCCCCTTGCCAGCTGAGATATCGATCAAGGATGTCAAACGGGGCATCCAGAGGCTCAGCGGGACGTTCCATGAACGGGTCCTCTCAACCACCGACGTGTTATGCACTTCTGAGGATCGCGACCGAGATTCACCACAGACTCGCCTCCAGGTGGCACGGCAAGGCGGTGTCACTGTCTCTTTCGACTGGCTTCAAGATTCATTCGCAGCTGGCCGCTTTGTGGACCCCCTTGAATATCCCATCTCTCAAGAACCATGGACCCTTCGCGGGGAGGATGAGGAAAACAGTGAGACAGAAATTGAGGAAGAGAGCGAGGAAGAGAGCGAGGAAGAGAGCGAGGAAGAGAGCGAGGAAGAGAGCGAGGAAGAGAGCGAGGAAGAGAGCGAGGAAGAGAGCGAGGAAGAGAGCGAGGAAGAGAGCGAGGCGCAACGCGTGGAATGCTGTGGCAATATCACCATCCTACTCCGAATTCTCTACTTCCGTGTGATGAAGGCGGTCGAAAAAGAAACGGAGGGCGAGAGTGACGCAGAGCGCATGGAATGCATTGACCATATCAATGCTATATTTCGTTGCTTAGAAGCTACCTTGTCGACAGCGGTTGGGGAAAACATGGAAGGCGAGAGTGAAGCAGATGACGAAGAGAGTGACGAGAGTGAGGAGAGTGAGGAAGACCGTGAGGAAAGTGAGGAAGACCGTGAGGAAAGCGAGGAAGACCGTGAGGAAAGCGAGGAAGAAACCACCCTGGCTCGATTCGACCCCGGGAGGCCTTTGTATAACTGTGGCATTGTCGTAGCCGACGAATCCCCTTATATGACCAAGGCGCAGCTTGAGAAAGAAGTCGTTCATCTTGGAGGGGTATCATTATTTAGTCTCTCGAAGGATACTACTCACTTTGTGGCCTCGCGAGCGACATACAACAAGCTTCCGCAAGCTGTCCTCTCGTACTTCCACAAAGTCTCCTTCGTCAATCATGGTTGGCTAGACGCCTGCTCGCAACAGGGCTCTCTAGTACATGTTGGTCCGTACATACACGACAGGCTGGACGAAGAAGAGAGCGAAGAAAGTGAAGAAGTGGACCGGGAGGAGGACGAAGACAAAAGCGAAGAGAGTGAAGAAGAGGACCGAGAGGAGGACGAGGACGAGAGCGAAGAGGAAGACAACACGAGTTATTTTCCTAGAGAATGGCGTAGCTGATAGCTTACTCCTCGATTAGTTCATCAGTTGAAGGATACCTTCGATTGTTGCTTGTATCCGTGCGAATGTCGACGTGAAAGTGCTCCAGCATGAAGCGACCCCAGCATACTGACCTCATGTGTGATATCCGGGCCGGAGCCAAGACCGGCATGGCTGGTGATGAAGTAAAGATGCTTTGGCTTCCATCCATGAAGAAACGGTGAGCCTGGGGCGTAGAGCGCCACGCAATTCGTCAGAAATTGTCGTTTCCCTTGATCACCTTGATGAGCAAGGACTGCGTGAAAGCAGGCCAGCAGTGACAACTGCAGGACGCGGGAAAGCTTGGCAGGTCAGGCAGCATGACGAAATCACGGAGGTTGGTTGGCGAGGGTATGAAGTAGAAAAACAAGTTCTATTCGGAAGCTGGTGTGTGCTGGGAGCAGCCGCCTTTGTAGAGAGATGTTCGTGATCTGCTCTTAAGCTGACCTGACGTGCCAGCACTCTTGGTTGCATGCGAATCCGCTCGCCCCTGTTTCGAGGACTAGACCTTCAGTAAGATCACACACAGCAGTGGCTGGCACCAACAGAGACGCATGATGCTCGCTCAAGTTGACCATAGGCCTCTATCATCCTGACATTTCTTTTTCTCTTATCTGTTCCCTTGTTTTCGGCTGTGATATCCCCGTACTCAGCCATCCTCAGCTCGCCCCGTCTCTACGTCCTGTCTTCCCGGCTTTGCCTCCGTTTTGCCCTCTCCGCGTCTACTTCGCGAGTCGATATATTCATCACCAGGACAGTGGCAGGACATCAAGGTCCTCTTCTACCCTTCTTCCCTGCCTCAGGCATTCCACAAGCCACTGGTGGTTGACGAGATGGAAGGCCTTGTCCTCGTCGCTTTTCGCCCGATGGAGGACATTTTTCACGTAAATGCCTTGATGACGAATCTCCTCCTCGGTCGCGCAAAGGTGTGTCAGGGTGTGGATAGGCTCGCTAGCCTGATCGCAGATCCCGCCCAGATTGACGATATGCTCTTCGACAAGCTTGAAACCAGGAACGCCACGAGATCGCGGATAGCTGGATGTGAAAGCGATCACGCACCCCCGCAACGGAGCGGCGTGTGCACACAATGCAGCAAGGTCGTAGTCGCAACTATTCACGAACCTGCCCTCGGCGTAAGAATCTGTAGCCAGCCCAGAGTGACAAGAACGATGTTCCTCGATCTTGCCATTCTGACATCGTGGCTCGAGGAATAGTACTGGCTCGGCTCGATGCAAACGTGCGTCGTTGTCGAGCCGACATGCTTTTGATAGGTCCCGCCGAGCGACTGAATCCAAAGCTTCGTGAGTTCCATACTCACCTGTTGCGGAAGTGGACAGGCAATCACGACCTTGACCAGACCTGTGAAGCATTCGTCTGTCGCCTCGTGGACGAGAAGCGGAAGTGGGGCACTCATGACGTGTGAACGGCCCTGCTCTGCGCTACGAATGTCTGTGTGTGCTTCTGACCGGCAGCCGACTGCAAGACACGTACCGTCCGCGCCTCACCACATACCTTAAGGAGCGCGAAAAAAATGCCTGACAGTACAAGCCTAACTTTGGCAAGCAAATTGCGAACAACGCTGTCCAACGCGCGTCCGATCCGAACCTGAATCAGACAGCACATGGTCTGTGCGCTCACTGTCGTTGCCCGTCGGCCAATGCCTGCTTTTGTCCGCTCGGCGGACCGGGTCTAATCGCTCAAGTCGCCTTTGGCTTTTCACCATTCGTTTCGGCGCGCGCAAGCCACTAAATCCATCTAAGAAAATCACGACTGGCTTCCTGCTCGTCATTTAGCGGCCATGGTCGAAATACACTTCTGCGTGGTGGGTTTGCGGCGAGTAGAAGGGCAAAGAGAGTGTCTGTTTCTGTACATGTACAGCGTATGTCTATAAGGTGAGGGCTGGTCGCGAATGCGCGTCAAGGATCGCCCGACTGCCAGCCTGCCAGCTGAAGACTGCCCGACTGTATTCAAAGACTGCACGGCCGCCAGGCCATGGCCTACTAATATTCCCGCATCAATTTGACATGTTTGCGGCACTGAACATCGCCGTGAGCTGCCCACTGCCTAATGAGATCTCTCTGCAAGAGGTCAAGACCTGGATTTACAGGCTCGGCGGGAGCTACCATGAGCAGGTTTACGAAACGACGCAAGTCTTATGTTCTACGGACCACCGAATTCGATATCTGCACCAGGATGCCTTCCGAGCCACGCAGCTGCGGGCGGCTGTCGTTTCTTTCGAATGGCTCCAAGGATCATATGACCAAGGCAAGTTTCTGCCCGTGTCACATTATCTTTTGAATACGCGGCGGAATCCAAAATATGCCCCGCTCACAGGCTGTGTCATCGCCTTCACGAGCAGCTTTCCTTTGCCCAAAGGGAGTGAGAGCTACGACGGCGTGCGCAACGCCATTATCAGACTAGGTGGCACTCACAGGACGGGCGTACGGCCAGATGTCTTGACGCATTTCTGCGTCACCGAAAAGGAACTCAATCGGCACGACTCGCTCGTCCAGCACGTCCTCATGCATGATCCACGACCCGACCGGGAGCCGCTCTGGATAGTCAGCCATCAGTGGTTGACCGAATGCCTGGAACGTCACGAACGGGTTGGAGAGAGCGATTTCACGTTTCCGAGCTGCAGTCATGGTGGGGGCATCCATGGCACCGGCGGCGAGGACAGCGAGGACGATGTGGACAGCGACGAGTCGATATGACTAGGGAAAATAGATAGAGGTGGCTAGGAAAGAGAGATAGACATGACTGGGAAGGAGAGATGCTCGTCATAGCGCAAGAAGCCTCTTTTGGCCCCTTTTCCCAATGCGGTTGCCCCCCGGTGACCATCTTGACTGTTTGTCGTTGTCTTGCCATCGTGTGGCCGTTCCCGTCGGACATATTGGCATGCCATGTGCAGCCGCCAGCAAGCTCTTGTAGTTCCGTGCAGACGCACCTACGTCCGTGTGACCCGTCGTCTCGTGATGCTCCCACTCAACAACCTGACAGACTCATAATTTAACGGCTGACTTTTCCCGACAGCTAGCAGCAGAGCTTGTGCCATTTCAAAGCTGATGGCCAGCCTCTTTCCGCGAATCTCGTCCTGGCCGCAGAAAACGTTTTGATCTGCGCTCCAACACAGCCGGACAGCAAAGCTAGCGGTGCCGCCCGGGTGGACATCTATCCAGCTCAGTGTCCCGTGCGCTGTCTCTATGCTACTTCGGGGTTCAAACTCGATTCTTTCCGGGCTGGCGTCGGACACCCAGACCTGGCTTCTCCGCTGAGGTTTGAACACTAGCTCGATGTTGTTCCAGGTCCAGAGTATGCTTGGCGAGACAGACATCGAGCGGGGTCAAGCCGGCGAAATCTACGCCTTGCTCCCAGCAGGCCCCCTGCGACACCGTATCGTCGCATTCACCGCTGCGCAGGCAAATATCGCAAGCGTCGTTGCACGGGAAAATGTCGCACCCGTCGTTGCACAAGCAAACGCTACTGACAGAGATGCCACGTCGCCACACACCCCGTCTGGTATGAAGTCTGTGAGGCCGAAAGAAGTATCGGGGGGGGGATGAGGCTGTCCCATGGTCCATCATGCAGCTCCTGGACCGCGGACAATGTCGGATCTCCGTCATAACATGCCTCCGAGGCTTGCGTCACGTCTTCCTGGAAGATGTCTGGCGAAAGACAGCGTTGAGAAGGGTCGACGGCGTTACCAGCATCTCCAGTACCGTGCATATAAATCAAGGCTGCCGCGGCAAGTCGCACTGCCTCGGCGGCACATTGTCCAGATGGATTGGCGGCCGTGCCCATGTTCAGGGAGGCAGGATGGAGAGACGGCGATTGAGTAACCATGTGGTGGAAGGACGTGGGAAAGGAGATGGATGGACCTAAGCCACCATAAAGGAAGGGCAGTGGAAGAGAGAAGAGTGATGTTGTGAGGCTCTTGGGCAGGGTATCATTGAGAGGCTCTTGTATTGGATCAATGTTTAGTAAATCAGAGATGACCGACGCGATGAGGACGGTAGACTGGTGGAGCGTGTCCAGATTTATACCATCCGTTTCCCACTTGCCGTGGAGTTCCTCAACACACTCAAGGCATACGCATGAACGTGGAAAACAGGGAAGGTGTAGACGGCATGCAGTCTAGGCCCACCCTACAGGCTATGGCGTATCGCCTACCTGCGTGAGAGATCATCTGGCATCGCGTGAAGCGAGGGTGGGAGTCAAGGAGCACGAGACGCAAGCACGGCATCTCCCAAGGCACCCGTGCGGAGTAGCCAGGCCGCGACCCGAATGATGATTCGAGGGTTGGTGTGATGTGGCCATGTTGTGACGTATCTCGGTAAGGAGCATCGTTCGGAAAGGAGAGGGAGGTGGCAGAGGCTCGGCGGCAGCACCGGTCGAGGCAGAAGTCGCGAGGCCGACTCGGATCATATCGGTCCAGCGCGACAGGCAAGAGGGCATGATCACTGTTGTGGTCTATTTCCTGTGGTCTATTTCCTGTGGTCTATTTCTTGTGGTCTATTGGTCTAGGCGGAGACAGAAGTGGCTTCACAAAGCCGGTGTCACAGAAGCGCGTCACAGTTCCCATGAGTTCCCCCTTTCCCACCCTTTCTACTTGCCACTCTTCCAACCACCCCCCCCCCAGTTACCCCTTTGTGCCTGCATCCTTAGCCAATGAACGCCTCGTCCGTCTCACGGCCCGTGGGCGTACTCGTCCTGAGCGTACTCGTCGACGTACTCTTCCTGGAACTCTGTAATCAACTCCCTGCTGTGCCACTATGTGTTGGCCAGCCATGGCTGCCAGCCAGCCCAGAGACTAAGTGGCGCATGTGTGTATATAAAGAAAGCCTGATTCCTCTTTTCAGTGTTTGGCTGCTGCCAGGATCGCTCACCGAGCTATCATTCCCTCTCAAGCTCTTCTTCACCCGCCCCATCTTCACCCACGAGCACAACGCTAACGTTGTGGTCCATGGCGCGGAAGACGCACATGGCATTCGCTACAACTGAAATGGCACCCACTGACTCCCGCAAGCTCACTTCCGACTGCACGGCCGTTCAACATGGGCCTTTGTGTCGCCTCCCTCCCGAGCTCCTCAACGGTATCATCAGCCGCTGCGACCAAAAGTCCATCTCGGCGCTCCTACGAAGCTGCAAGCAACTGCTGCATGCCTATACTACTTGGTTGTATGCAAACAACGTTCAATATTCGCATGCATCGTCCATCATCTGGGCAGCGCGTTGCCAAGAAGACAATGTCACCATTTCGGTCCTGAACAAGGCCGTCGAGGCTGGCGCGAATTTACGGAAGCAATGTCAGATTTCCCTCAAGCCATTTGAACACCTACGCCTACCACAAATGGTCTACCGGGATTGCTTTCTCTCGGCGCAATCTCAACTGAGGGACATGTATCCTGAATCTGTTGCAGTCTCTTGCCTTGAACTTCTCGTCGAAGAGGGTCGAGATACCGTGGTTCTCCACTTGCTGCAGCATGGTTTTCATCCATACCATCTGCTGACGTCTCGCATCCTGAACCTCGTTTCCAGCACCCATGGCGCTTTGCCGCGTCTGACCGACATCAACCCCCTCCATGTGTCGGCGGCCATGAGCCTACAGAACGTGGCTGCCCTTTTGATTGGCCAGCATGGCGTTCACGTCGATAGCAGGGACAGCTGTGGCTACACGCCATTGTCGTACGCCATACGCTCGCCGTTCGCCGATGACGAGATGATATCCGAGCTGATCCTCTGCGGTGCCGACCTCAAGCAGGAGGTGCCACATGGCGGCATACAAGTGTCCATTCTGGAGTACGCCTGCCATGCCGGCCGGTTCTCCGCTGCTCTTCACATCCTCGCAGCGCTCGACTTGTCTGACGTGCCTGGTGCTTATGACCCAGCTCTTCAGGTCGTCATACCAATACCCTCCTTCAAAAGAAAAGGCCAGACTTCGCATACCAAAAGAATTCTGGTCAACAAGCTCTTGGGACGTGGAGCGAACCCAAACGCTATCGTTCGTTCTTCCGGGGCCCCTCTCTTGACGCATCTGGTTCGGAACCATCCCAAGGCTGTCGACTATCTCCTGGCCCTGCCGGGCATCCTTGTTGATGCATTGGATGAAGGAGGCCTCACCGCCTTGGCCTGGGCTCTGACATATACAGCGCACCCTACGAATGTGTATCTGAAAGTCGCTGCGTCTCTTCTAGCCCACCAAGCGACCTTGACGACAGCTGTGACAAAGTGGATATCGGACAGCACACGTACTATAAGCACCATGCGACACGTGAAACACGCACTCAAGAGAAACCCACGTATCCTAGATATCTACCAACTCATCTATGGCCATTGCATCAGGGTCTCCCCTTGGCAGCGCACCAATGCCCAGCATCAGTTTCTGGCCGAGGCACCCGAATGGATTGTACTTCTGATCTGCAGAAAGAAGAGAAAGGGATTATGGACACGGAGAACGGCGGAAAGCATGGTGAACAAGTATTGTGATCTCGAGATAGTGCCTAGAGGCTCCGCGATGTCTCTCTCGGCTCCGGTGCAATATCTGGGACATTCCAACGACGAGGCGCCTACCCAGCTGCGGATACCATAGACACTCCATCTGTCTTCCGGATTGTCTCTCTAGGTGGGGCCATATCGTGGCGATTGGCCACATGCTTCTCCCCGACACACCGTCGATTGAATTCCTTGCCGCATTGGACGCAGATGAAGCGGGCCGCGGAGGGACGGTATATGAGGCTGGCATCTCTGACAGTCCCCGCACCGCCCCGACTCTGGCCACGAGGGTTATGCTGGTCGATCGAGAGCAGACCAAGAGAAGGAGACCGGCCCGAAGACTGGTCAAGAGACCGATTGGAAGGGGGGAGCCGGCCAGTGTGGCCACCAAAGGTGCCATGCTGTATCCAGGGAAGACCGCCCGAGAGCCGCGCTCGGGCGGGTGCGTGGCGCTGGACAGCCGTCCGAGGGCCTGCGGCAGCCAGACTCGACCTGTTGGCCATCGGCGCGCCAACCGGCACGATGAGGTTATCACTCGAGACGCGTCGTTCGAGCTGATCGATGATGGAGCGAAGCTGGTCTGCTTGCCAGCGGGCTCGAGCAAGGGTTGCGGGTCGACATGGCGTCGATGGATGTACGATTCTGTCGCGCGGAGCATATACATGTGTTTGTGGACGGCGTGGCATACTGGGCACGGCGCCTGGTGAAAGCGTGCGGTCTGAATCAACTTGAGACGGCAAGGTCGGCGTTGGTGTTGTGCATGTGCACAAGGTTGGAGACGCTGCCGCCACTGCCAGTGGCGACACGTCCAGACGTCTTGATCGTAGAAACACATGGTGTTCGCCGCAGTCATACAACGAGAAAGTAGGGCAAGCAAGTGAAAATGCAGGGCGAGCAAGTGAAAACGCAGGACAAGCAAGTGAAAACGCAGGGAGCGAGGACACGCGGTGATGCGAGGACCTGTCCGGAACGGCCATCACGGATGGCATCACGGATGGCCAACAGTGCCAAGCTTAACGGCCGGGTCATGGCAGCGCCGATGGCAGCTTCAAACGCGGCCTTGTCGGCAGCGCCTCAGTGGCACGCGCCCTCTTACCAGGAGCCCGGCGGCTATGCACGACTCCGGGTGGGGCTGCCAGCAGTGCCTCGACCAGGAGCCTCAGCGGCTTTGTATGCGGCTTGGTCGGGGCTGCCAGCAGCGCCTACATGACAGGCGCTCCGCTACCAGGAGCCGAGCCGACTGATATGCGGTTCGGGGCCACCAGCAGCCGCTCTCTCCACGCTCCGGGTTGCCAGCAGCCCCTGTTAAGCGCCCGCCGTCGAGAGGGCGCCCGGCCATCCCGAACCAATGCCTGGCGCTGGCTACTAGTAACAGGAATGGCTCACTACCAGCAGCCGCTGGCTCGAAAGCGAACTCCTTCAAGATCAGAAGACGGGTCACGCGAGTCACAGGTGGGCGGGCGGTGCGTTGGCAAGTACAAGGCCATAATTAATCGTCCGTCTACGGAATCCGACACAACCGCCTCACGTATCCTCACGTATCCCACGGAAAAGCACACATCGCCTTTGGTGTCGTAGGCGCTGCTGGCTCACACGCCTTGCTCGGTCAGCATGCGGTCACACACAGAACGAGATGACGGGCGGACAGACCTCCTGGTCGCGCTTCTTCGCCGCGGCCAGCTCGGTAGCCAAGCGGCGGATCTCCTCTTGGAGACCGTCGATGTAGGCCGTGGATGCCACGCGCAACTCTTCATATTCCTGCTGCCAGTACGTGATGACGCCGCGCAGGTTTTCGCACAGATAGCGGTAGTCCGGCTTATACAGCGGATGCGGCTCGTCCCACCGGCGTAGGGACAGGCGCACGCCCGGGGACAGAGGCGCGCCCGGGGATGGAGGCACGCCCGGGAACGAAAGCACGCCCGTGGACAAATCTCGGACACGTGGGTCGCCCATGGCAGGATGAGATGAAATGCTGCGAGAACGAGAAGGCGAAGATGCCGAAGCGAGCTCTGGACACCGCCCGCTTGATGCCGCCTGCTTTATAGCCATGGCCAACCCGCCGCGGCCCCCGCACATCGCACATCGCACGCCGCACGCCGGCCTGCACATTCTGCTCCGGCGATAGACAGTCCCCGTCCAGGCCCGGGCGGCTACGCAGTCGACCCACCAGGCATGCCGGACCTACTGCAGTGGCGTCCTTGCGTGCGTATGCGCCTGCTCGACAGCTCGGCGCTCGTCCGGGTTATCGGCGATTACGTGCTGGGCACGTAAGCGACGGCGAGGGGTAGATGGTTCATGCGACGCTGCAATCGAGGACCGACCGACCGACGACCAACGCGCCAATCCCAGGTCGAGCCTGACCCCACCTGGCCTCCACCTCCTCTGCAGCCAAGACAGTCTATTGTCCTGGCGTCACTTAGCGTGCCATGTCCTCGGGAATCGGACGGGCTAGGCACGAACAGGCATGAAAGTCAGGCACAACCGGGCAAAGCCAGGCACAGGCAAAGCCAGGCACAAAGGCAAAGCCAGGCACACAGGCAAAGCCAGGAACTACCGGGCACGAGCTTGCTGAGCCATCCTTCAGCTGACGATAATACACGGCAACGTCATGACATGGAAAACAGGTCCGGAGAAGTATTGAAACTATCTGACACTAACGCACAGCGCATCACACCCACCCTCGCGCAACGCCAACAGCCAATCACTCCTGCGAGGTCATGGATAGAGGCGTCAGCATGCCACTGTCCAGTGCCTCCAGCGTGGACGGTGCCACCATCGGCTCCTCCGTCGATGGAATGTCCTATTGCCGCATAAGCTTCGCTCGCCTGACCTGCGCCATTGTGCCACAACACGTACTCGACGATCGACGTTTGCGTCGGCCAGTCTCTTCACCAGTGTGTCCAGCCGATGCAGCGTCTGCAGGATGGCCATCAACGGGTCACGATGGGCATGTGGCCCGGGTGGGAAGAACTGCGAGGTTCCGCCCCCCGGAGTATTGTCTCCGCATCCCTCAAGTCTCTCAAGACGAAGAAGTTGGAAGCCAGACGGACAGATACAGCGAGGGTCTCGCGTGCCGTTGGACGGCCGGAGCGACGGCAGATGAGCCATGTGGAAGGGAAGGCGAGGAGGGGGAAGAGGAGGAGGGCGAGCAGTGCGAGAAAATGGGCAGGAGAGGGCGAAAGGTGGGCAGGAGGGCGAAAGGTGGGCAGGAGGGCGGAAGATGGGCAGGAGAGGACGAGGAAGCCAAAGACAGTGATACAATCAGGCGGGAGATAGCTGCGTAGAACGCTAGATACAGTCACAACGCTACAGTCGCTAGGATAGAAAGCTGGCCACGCTGGGTCGACATCTTATATAGTTTGACAACGGTGCAATGGCAGTTCGATGACAATGGCCTGCCGTCAGTCGCACTCACGTCCTCGCGGAGCAGCTGGCCGTCACGGTCTGGACGACGGTCATGGTCGACACCAGCGTCGACACAACCGTGGCGACCACAGTCAGACCCGTAGATGGCACGACCTTGGACGCCATGCTGACCTGGAAGAGCGACGACGACGACGACGACGCCGCCGGGGGCACGCTCGCTTGCGCGCCGGGTGTGGTCTGTCCGTCTAGGGGCGCGCCAGCCGGAGGGGGGCGATGCGCCCCGCCTTGGCCCGGTTCTGGTCGAAGGACGTGTGGCTCGCTGGTTGGTGATGCCTGCAACCCTTGGGGAGGGATGGTGGCCGAAGGCCAGGGATCCCCGACCCCCGAAAAACATCGCCCCCCGTTGGGGGGGGGCGCCCGTCCGCCGATCCTTCCGTGCTCGTCCCGTGGTTCGCCCGGGCCTTTGCCCTGTTTGGAGCCGGGGCGCTGCTTGAACCAGGTTGCTGCCTGAGCCTGGCACGCTGCTCGAACCAGGGTGCGCTGCTCAACGCGACGCGAAAGTCGGTCGTCGTCTGCGTCACCAGCGTCGGCACCGTCGAGACAAACGTCGTCGACGACCGCACGATTGTCGCCAGCGTACTCCGTGTCACCACCGACTCCGACACGCACCCAATCCGGCCGACATTCACCAGTGGCAGGTGGGGGTCGCCGCGGCCTCCGGCGATCGTGGCGCGAGAGCACGTTGGCGGTAATCCCGCGCATTGCCTAGAAACCTGTTAGCGCGGATGTCTGTCGCGTCGCCTGTCCTGGTCGCCTGTCCTGGTCGCCTGTCCTGGTCGCCTGTCCTGGGCGCCCGTCTCGTCGCCCGTCTCGTCCGTCGGGCGCGATCGCTCAGGCGTGACCAGTTGGGCATGCAGGTGCGCCATCCTACCATGTAATGTGTGCATCGCCGCTGGGCGCCCCTGTCGGCACCACAAAGCTGGCGACCCTGCGACCTGAGCAGGGAATGGCCTCGAAGGCATAGCTGACGGGGAGGAAGTCCGGATTGTCGAACTGGAGGGTGGCCCCGCACCGTCGATCCAGCGCGTCCTCCACACTAGAAGCTGCGGTTAGCAACAGCAACAGACCATGCCACCCACACCACGACCACGCCCTACGAGCGAGCAGCATTGCGCCAACGGCCACACCAACAGCATCACTCGCTGCGAGCCGCATCACACCCGGCAACGCTCCACGCGAACGGACCAACGTACTCGGCAGACACCACCGACCGACCGGCCTCGAGGGCGACGACAGGACTTGACATGCAGATGCAGGGGCCGTCGTGCAGGCCAGCACGCCGGCGTGCACGAGAGGGAAAAGGAGGAGGAACTTCATCGTCTTGGTGGCTGTGGGGGGGCGTCGGTCTTGGACACTGGGTTATCACGCTGCCTTGCGCGTTATGACCGGTTATGAGAAGTGGGAGCATGTCGTGCGCCGCCACGACAGGCGACGGTCGCCCTGCGAGCTAAATAGCGAGGGCAACAGGCGGCCGTCCCATGTTGCATGTTCGTTGTCGGTCATAAGCCAGAGTTGATCATGGGCGAGGCATGTCCCACCATGGATCCGGGACGCAGGCTGCCAATAGCCGGACGTCAATTGCTGGACGTCGGTTGTCAGATGGCAATTGTCAGACGTCAAAGGTGAGATCGCGCACCGTCGGTTCCACTGCTGATAACAAAACAAGGTTTGCACTATGACCCATCTCACATCTCAGGGCATGGGTCGCTGAACTTTCACGCACGATTGGTCAAGACGCCCCACGTTGACCATCACGGCCTGATGATCAACGAAGCAAGACCGACACTGCAACCCTGACGTTACGAGCGGTTATGTTCCTGTCGGGGTGATCGTCCCGCAAGACAACACACTGCAGAGCAGACCACTTCCGATGCAGCTAAAGGCAACAGGCTTTCGATAACGTTGGCACCGATCATGTCTAGGACATGTATCATAAGACGTGGTGCCCCCGGGACGGGAGGGTTTTTTGGGCTCACTCGCGATTTGCTGCCCTCAGCACATTGGATCTTGCAAATGCATTGCTGGACTCTTGACTTGCGACTTGCCGGCGAGTCCTTCTTGCTCACTCTTTCTTGTTCACGAACATCTTCCGATAGTCCATACTACACACTAGTGATTTTTTTCAAGCTTGTACTGCAACATGGAAATTCAACACGAAAGGACTCGGTTCGAGACGGATACGCCAGCCCTGCACCCTGTCCGTAAGTGTTGTAAATCCTATCGACTTCGTCCCGCATCGCCTACACGACGAGCTCACTGTTCAATACACGCTTAGCAGAGGCCAGCTTTTCGGCCACAACACTGCACAGGGACAACAGCTTCATTCTCTCGGGCTATCGGTAGTGTGCCCTCAATGCCCGAATATGAGACGCGACGTTAATCGACCGCATAGTGATGTGTCGTTTTCGTACTGGCAATGTTTGCAAAGTACACTTGAACTCCACAATGAAACAGGTGCGGTAGCTTCATACTAGATGCGATGAACATCGCCTCTCTGACCAGTGACAAAGTCAACATTTGGTCGCATGCCCTGGGATCGCTGTGGTTTCTTCATCAATTTTTCGATGATTGTATCAAAGACGACACCACTGCTCTGTTGACCTCCGATAGGTTTGCCATCGGCATGTTTGACATGTCAGTGGCTTTATGCTTCTTCTTCTCTGCAGCCTTTCATACGTTCAGTAACCACAGCCGCAGTGTTTACAGACTTAGCAACCAGATGGATCACTTAGGGTATCGTCTTGTTAATGTGGGGAACTGGACTTTTCTGGCGCCCATTTTGTCTTTCGATGCCAGCGGACTGCATACACGGTCCATCTGACTCTTATGTCGGCCTCCCGCCGTGCTGAGCGGCCTAGCTACGCTACGACCTGCTTTTCGTGAGACGGGGGACCAACAACCGCGTGTTCTTGTCTATACATGTTTCGGTATCGGTCTCTTTGCGCCGGTGCTCCACGGCTTGTATGCATTCGGGCTTGCGGAGCTCGACGAGAGAATGGGTCTTAGATCGTTTCTTGGCTTGCGTTGCTCAACTCAATAGGGGCCTCGCTGTATCTCTACAAAGCACCAGAGCGGTGGTTGCCTGGCAGGTGTGACCTTGCCGGGCAGGGCCATAACTGGATGCACGGGTTCGTGCTTGCTGGAGTATGGATGCGGTGTAACGGTCTAGTTCAGCTGGCGATCCCGAGAAGCGCAAGACAGGAGGTTCTATGAGTGGTCGAACGAAGGGATAATCATTCAAGCGCCAATCACGATCATGATCTGCAAATGAGATGATGGGCATACATTGGAGGGTTCTCCTGGAGATAGAGCGGATTGGCATCATAAAAAACTGAAGCTAAGCCTCAGTTCACCATTCATCAAATGTGTGCTGCTTTGGAGCCGACTTCCTAGGCTTCTTCCAAGTCCTTGTGACGAAGAGATTCTGGACACATCCGCCGGAAGCCGCAGACAGGAAAAGATGAGGGAACTAAACCGTAACCCTTCCGTCACGGTGTAGTCTGGACCAGCCGTCGGAAAGGGCAGAGAGGACAGAAGTCTCGTGGTATGCTGGCAGAGAAGCTTGTTTCTTGGACGATCAAGAGAAATCCTGCTCACGTAATAGTCCACGGAATGCCCATGGTCCCTTCGTTGTGGTGTGCTGAGAGTGGAGACATCGGCTAAGGCAGCTACGCAGGCCTTGTAGTTTAATATTGAGCATTCAACTGTGACCTCCCCCTAGGTTCGTGCTCGGCGATACATCCTCTACGCCAGTGCCGACGTACTAAACGAAGTTCGAAATATCAGAGTCAGTCTGCGGGATCGAGATGGAGGCCAGATACACGTTTATTAGAGTACTGACTGCATGCAGCCTTAAGTAGATGATTTGCGTTGCGGTGATCTTCTTTGTTGCTCATATTGAGATTTGATTATACGACCGTGGCGGGTGGCTTCAACCCGCCCTAGGTGTGGAAAGGGGCATAAAGCACCTTACTGTCCGCCCAGTTCTCTAGAACCACCGATCCTTAGATATCTCAAGCTTTGCATCATGGATGCCCAGAAGAGAAAGCGACAGGGCCCACGCCTTACCAGTCAAGAAAGACTCATCCGTCCGCACCCCAGTGATACATCATCATCTTCTGATGACGCATTGTCTTCTGATGAGCGGTCATTCAAACGACGGAAAGTGAAATGGAAAGTGAATGAGTCGAAGCGAGCAAGTGACAACGATAAAGGCAAGCAGGTTCCCGCCATTGTGCCCACGTTGAAGTTTCAAAAGACTGGTGGAGCCGTGAAGCTCCTACCAGTGTCAACGCAAGTGCCGGATTGTCTCCCGTCCAAGATCAAAACAGATGGGGCAACGGCTGCTTCTCCCGTTTCTCTACTGAAATCGCTTCGCGGTTGGACCATCAAGGGCAGCAACGGCGCCAGTTCATCTGTAAACACAAACACGTATCACAACACGAAGAAATCTTCAATGTTTAGACTCGGCATGGCAGTAAGATCTGCCCGTCCTGTTTCTTGTTGACTTGCTGACACGCTAGACCACGGAGGACCAGACCCGTCTGAGTAAACAAAATGTTGACGATGTCTTGAATATCATCACTTGTCAGCACCAACAGAGAATCAGTGTTCTGGATCAAAACACGAAAGTGTTCCCGGAATCCAACTTGACTCTTTTGCCCGTCTTTCAAGACGGTCAATGGGCTCTCGGCTACTACTCAGCAGCCGGGCTGACCGTGTACGAATCACTTCCCGACTTGTCCAGGCGCGAGGCCATGATAGAATATTTTCAAGACTACCACAAGACACAACCCGGCTTGCTCGTCACAATTTCAGCTCCGCTGATCCGCCCGAAGTTTCACGATTCCGGTGTGTACCTCCTGGTCACGGCTATTCTCCTCATAGCAGAGTGCGACCTCCCGAGCAGCATTGACTACGGCTTCTGGAAAGAGGTGTTGAAGCATATTTTTCTATCCCATGTAGGTTACCAAATCATCGCCCAGCCCATTTTCTCAAACACGCCGTCGTCAAGTGGTTGCTCGGACATGACCCACTTTGGACTGTCAGCTAGGGTTTCGCCAGACTGCCCGGGATGCTTCTTGCATGACAATCGGAAGGTGCGCATCAAAGGCCCCAGCCTGGAAGTGGTGCCAAAGTACCGTCAGTCGTTGCAGTCGGCTGAGAAGGCTTGCCACGCACTGTACAAGTTGACAAAGATATCATCGAAGAAAGGTGCGCGTGTTGCCAATGAAAACAGCCGCCGAATTATGCAAGCACTGCAGTTCGCCAAGTTGTCCAAGAGTTGCCTGCAGGCGGAAGTTGACAGGCTTCAATCACGTTAGGATGACTGACGGCCTTCAAAGCAAATGCAAGAGGGGATATGGGTCTCCCTTCCGCTATCCCCTACTGAGATGATGTGGGTGTGGGCGGAGCCTAGGTGCCCGTGTGAGAGAAAAGATTAACTTGATGCACACAATGTTCCCTACCCTTCGCCTCAAATTCGTGAACGAAATTAGACGACGATGTTGATCCTATGGAATTATTTCGCGAGAGAAAGTAGCTATGATTGGTATAGGGATTTACTCTAGTATAAATAGACATGAGTATTAAACATTGGCGACGAAGTGTTTCGAGGCGTAAAAATGATGCAGGATATATGTACGTTAAAAACAAAACCAGATCGGCAAGCCTCGTATCAAATATTCCCTGCTGGCCATAAGTAATTGAATTCACGGTCCAGCCCCCGCTATGCGCCATATTGGCGGATGCTGGCTCGCAGATGAGACAGAATACTGAACCGCGTTGGAAAGCACTAGTCACTCAAATCGCCTAGACGGGGGTGAAGTGTGGCACCATCCAAAAATCGTTTAACCCATTTCGCTACCCGGTCTCAAGCCTCGCGGCATCTCAACAGCTTCATGCTTGCCGATTTTAGAGGATGAAGTCGTTCAGTCTACTCTATGTTGCTATTGACTCGGCTTTGGAATACTCACTTAGGCAGATGATGGAAGTCTCGACCGCCGTGTCACGGCCGCCCGCGGATCAAAGTGGGCCGAGGCCTGCCAGTGGTAATGGCCTTATTACCTTTGAAGATTATTTTACGCCATAAAAGGCGGCAACGCCTTTCGACCCCCTTCACTTCATTTTCACATCCGCTGTGGCCGACCCTCTGATGATCCCACCGTGAACACCCACGCCTGCCCTTTGCCATCCCTCGTCAGCGAACCTGTCGGTACCCACGCAGCGACCGTCCGAATGGCTTCGCGCCGTTGTACCGCTGCTCGCCGGCCCGGAGCGAATGGCCCCCCTGACAACAATCATGCAGACTTTCTCAACCTTGTCGCTCAGCGGGAGGCCGACGGCCGCGTGTCCAATCGCCCCCTACCTTTGTCGGTTGAGGAACATGCCGCGCACAGAAAACGACTCGAGAGCGTTCGCTTTATTAAACCGAAATTCGCCGACGAGACCGAGATCAATATGTCTGGCATGTTGGGGAAAGGGAAACCGTAAGTTCTGCAGCGTTGTCATGCTGGCTCGGCTTGACGTCAGCCTACTTACTTTGTCCTTCCAGGTAGTGCGCCGAGACGAACGTTGGAGACTGGAGGGCTACGATCAAGAACCTGACATGCGAACTAACGATGGACTTCTTCCTGTTCGTCTGTGGCAACTATAACGTCAAGTCATGGGGAACATCACATGTATACATCCGACAGTTTCAGCAGCTGTACACCACCATCGCCGGCCGTTACGTCGATAGGAATGATGCCAAGGAGGTCTACAAGGTACGGGCACTACTGCACTGATTTCATGAAACCGGCTTGCTAATACTTCATCAGTACCACCGTCAAGTATTGGTCCCACGCTTTGGCCTCCGCGAACCAAAACGTGAATGGTAAACCTGTGGTTGGTGCAGACGAGGTGCGGGTTCTCCTCACGTTCAACATAGCCTATGACACTAGCATCTTTCCTGGCGAGCGTCACCGGCTTAATCAAGCCTGTTGCTACCTCATTCTGAGCTATACTGGCGCCAGGATCGCCGAGCTAGTTCACAACCAGCGGCAGCGACCTCAAGACGGCTCTATGGAAGAGCTTTTTGGCCTCAAGGTTGTCCCGTCGGAAGGACGACAGACCATCAGTGAAAGTGCCGACAAGGACGAAGGAGGAGAATCTGAAGTCGCACAAGATGAAGAGTCCCTGCGCCTAGACGAGATCCCCTGCACGCAGACCACAGGGCGCGGACGCCCAAAAGCCCTCTGCTACGAGGACATTTCCATGATGATTGTCGAGCACCCGGTGACGCGTCGAGCCATCCCGGTCATGTCGATCAAGTTTGTTCACCATAAGGGATCAGACAACAAGCCAAAACCGTAAGTGTCTAGCTCTCAGGCATTGTCGTCACACCATGCTGTCGTTAACAGAGGCTAGCACCATCTTCTCCTTCACGCCCACCAGGGAGTTAATATTTTGTCCCGTCAGCATCATGATCGCCCTCGCGCTGCATGACCAGGCTTTCGACGCGCCGAGCTTGACGAACGCTACACGGGTCCTCGGGACGAAGAACTGGGGTTCCACTAAATGCACTCCGCTCCGGTGGAAGGAAGACGTGAAGAAGATTCCTGTTTTTCGGCGCTTCGGGCGTGGTGGAGACCTGTCCAAGACCGAGGACATGCTGCACAGCAAATTCAGAGACGACCTTGGTCGACAAAGTCTGGACGCTGGGTTCGAGCAGCGCTGGACGGCCAAGATCTTCCGCAGAGGAGCGTCTGATGCGGCTAATGGTATATTAGAACTTTCCCCGGGCGTCTGAAAGTGGACCGCAACTGATAAGGGGTTCTCAGGAAATGCGCCTGACGTAGTACGCGATCAAATGATGCGCCACGATTCGAAGTTCGCCACATTTCACGGCGCCTACCTCAACGAGAGGGTTCAGTTCGACTTGCAAAACACGTTTCTGGAAGAAGAGACTGAAGATCAATTGTACCGCTTGTTCGCGCACGTCAGCCTGGCCCGTGATCCTCGGGCGAAGCGAGATATGGTCCCGGCAGAGGTGTGGGCGAATCTCCCCCCCGACCCAGAGATTGTTGAGCTGCAACAAGAGCGGACGGCGCTAAAGCAGTGGTCGTATCAAATTCGAGGCCACAAGTATGAAGTCAAGATCCGCCAGCTCACAGAGACAATCAGGACGATGCGAGTAGGGCGTGAGGCCAAGATTGTAGACCAATATCGGAAACATTACTTCTACAACCGGCCAACCTGGAACATCGAGAGGCAAGCGCGAGACGAGGAGGAAGAGGAGTATGTCGAGCCAGCGATTGACCTCGAGATTCCCGACCGGGCCCGGCTCGCCGAGATTTTATGCAAGCAGCCCAAGGATCTGAGTGAGACGGAAGTTCACCAGCTACGAATCGAGGCTATTAACACAATGGTGGCGTTATGCGATAGGCGGGAGACGATCAAGCGCGAACGCTTACGAACCCGACCGCAGATGAACATATCCATCAAGCAGGAGACGCCTAAACACCTGAGCAAGATGATTTCCCCCTACTAATGGACCCGACTCAGTGCCCGAGCTGCATTGGCGATGAGCGGCTTTCCTCCGGGCAGCGGACATTCAAGTATTGTCGCCCCGTGGTCAGAAATGACCATTTTGATGACCATCATTTGGAAGAACGGGAGCTCGCTGAGCAACGTGGCGAGCCGATACGCTGCGACCACCCGAAGTGTAGGAAGGAAAAGTTCCAGCACTTGGACCACTTTCGGAACCATGTCCACTCTGTACATGGTGTCCCGCTCAGGTCGTCGGAGCAGGTGGAGTTGAGGCGTCAAAAGAAGGTCAGGAAGCGGCAGATGGTGAGCATTGTAAGACAGAAGATGTCTTAGGCGATGTGCTCACAATGCACCGAGGGCTGAGTCCGTTGCCGTCACGCTGAATTATCAGAGAAACGTCGATAATTCTTACTGAAGTGGGTGTTTTTTTTTGAGCGATTGCGGCATAATTATGTCTCGTGGAAATGGAAGAGGAAGGTTCAGGACGGTCATAACTAATTGTGTGAGTGACGTAATCTATTGGCTCTTCAAAGATCTCAGTTTATACTAGATCTAGAAAGATAGGAAACAGTACTATCGGGGTCTACGTGCCGAAATATTTGTCTTCGAGCCCCTTAAGAATCTCAGTCACGTCTACTACAACATTGTGCCCGCCCTGTACTGTTAATCGTTTGATTGGCCACTGCTATACTAGAGTTGTACCCTCTAATTGGGATGATTCATTTGGTGTCATTCTGGCGCTGGCCTGATATTGAGGTTTGGTTGTCTCGGGATTCTAGGCGGCTTGAGTTGTGAGGGGGGAAAATATCCTGTTTCCCCTTACTCAAGAGGCTAACTAAATAGCTAGGGGTTCCTGCATTAGGTTGAATGACCTTCTTGGATGTTGGTTCTTTTCGGTCTTGAGAGCAGTCTTAACTGGCCAAATATCGCTGAGGGTCTCCTACTTCTGTCCTTCTCCCGAAATGAATTGAGAGTCCAGGGCGTTTCCGTCGCAGGTGGCGCGTGGTGTTGCGATATATGTGAAGCCTAGCATATGAGGACTGCAGGTCGTGAATACGACTATATATAGTAGCGAAGGCACACAAGGCACCTAGTGGTGCGACCTGTCTCATACTGACGAATATTACGCCGCGTTTGCCGCCCTGCCTTTGGAAGGCCGCGACTGGTTTGTCGGTTCCTTGGCTGACCGCCACGCACCAGACATCTGGATGCCCGCATCACTACTGATTGCTGTCTTCATAAATGTGATGATGTAGGTCAAATTGCATACCCGGTAACTATGATGCTCTCGCAAGGGGGGGTAGAGACACAGGTGACAATACGTAATTGATTCATTGAGACTGAAAACGCTGATGACGCTGATGACGCTGATGACGCTGATGACGCTGATGACGCTGATGACGCTGATGACGCTACGTGCAATGTCGCACATTCTGCTAGTGCAGCGTGGGGTATACTTTTGCCCCAAGGATCACGAGTAACCCGATGCCCACTCCAGAAAGCCTGCCAAGCCATGCCCTATATTATACCCCATGGGGACGATATCTTCGATGCTAGCTTCACCCACGAAGAAGAGATCCATCATAGAGCTCTGTGGTGGGCTCCACATCCCATCTTCCCTGCTCAACCTGTAGCCCGCTGTGGCCGTCGTGTTGAGAACGTCTTGTCTGAACAGTCGTTCTGGTTCCGCAACGGTGTCTATGGCCAGTGATCTGCTGCTCCGTCTCCATGATCATGTGTGCAGGCACCCATAAGCAGACCTCAGAAGTCTGTATGAGTCTGCGATGATTGCTGAGTTGGAACTGGCAGCATCAGACATTCGGCGCGAGTGCGTCGTACCCAGCCGCCCGGCCGGGACGGAACGTCTGGCTCGCACGAGCCTGCCCTCCGACTTGAAGCTAAAATCGTCGAACCACGTCGTGATGCCTTCCAGCTCATCATCGTCAGAGCCGTGCATGGGGTCCCAACTGTCCGAGACGAAGTCCGCCGGCCCCGCCAAGGACAGCAACTTGAAAGGCCGTCCAGTCCAAGGTCTTATCGGGCATGACGTCTGCGTAGAGAACAAAGCCAGCGTTGAGGATGCGAATGCGCCGTGGCGGAACGTCGGCATTTCCATGCTGTAGGGTGTCCATCGAAGATAGAGAGCGTCGCCTCGTCGGAGGGTGCAACCCTGTGCGTAGGCCAAAGTCGGCTCCGCTGTTGGCATTCGCAGCCCTCTTCGACAACTCGTCTCCCGGGGGAACCCCACAGCACCAATAACCGCTGCTAGCTAGCCCGATGAGAGGATGGGCTGGTATGATCTCATCAGCCTTGATCTTTTCGCAGCCATCTAACGATGTTCGCCACGTCGTGGAGTGTTCGGTTGTGACAAGATTCCGTTTTCCTGCTCTCTTTGCGATTAAAGTGGTAGACGTGCTGACAGCGCTCGCGATGAGGCAATGTGTCAGAAGGGTAGGCTTTACAGGGGTTGGTGGTAACCGCAGCAGGGCTGACAGGCTGTAGGCAAAGAATCAATCTTGGAGAAACAGTGTAGAGACAGTTCGGTGTATACAGAACCCTAATTAAATTATCCCTTTGTTCTTCTCTTTAGGAGTAATAATACGTCCAAGACCTCGTCCCAACGAGTCGCTCGACGGCCAGCTTATTACAGTGAGGTACTCTCGAACATTGCTGGGTCAGAATCATCCCCCCAATCCAACTGTTGGTTTTTTACGAGAATTTCATCAGGCCAGTCTTCCATCTCAGCCTTTAGAATAAATAGCATCGTCTCTGAAGTCACCGATAGCCGTGACGAACAGTCAAGGGGCTCTATGATATCAAACCTAATTTTGAGTTGTAGGTCAGTTTTCGAAACATAAGGCCAATCTTCGATGCGTGGGTCTCTTACAGATCTTCGAATAAGATGTCTACTTCATCATTTATGGACACAGTCCCAAGCTCCATATAACTTTCGGTTGCCTTGAATTTTGGGACTTCGACATCGCGATCACCGTGACCAGGTTTCGATAGGAGGAGTCGATTGGGGCCATCTGAGGTAAGGAAGTGGTCGACATCTTGATCTAAATCGATTTCCCTCATCCACCTGATGACCCTTACCTTTGCCTCTGCGGACTGCAAAGCGGGGAATTGGAAAAAAATTCCCAAGAGGGAAACGCGACGTTTAAGCTCGCAGTATTCTTTTCTCAAAGCCGCGAGCCGAGTGACACCTTGTTCAAGGTCATAGAAGCA